TTGTTTTTTGTTTGATGGTCTTTTTGGGCAATGTATGCTACATTAACATTTCCAAATGCAAACAGTTCCGAGGTTTTTGACGAATGATGCAGAGGAGTTTAGGATTCAGTTGTATCTTCAAAAGCTTATATGGAGAGTTTCTTACTGCTCTGTTATTGAAGTTATTTATTTAGGGAATTTTGAATATGGGGGGCGGTAAGAAAAAGAATCGGAACTCTGATTCTGGCGCACATGAGGCGTCAGATAATGCAAATCGAACTGAAAAAATCGGCACAAACAGGGCTACCCAGTCTGAGGTTCGTCCAAAAGAAGTAAGGTTTTGGTTAGAATAGAAGTGTACTTATAAATTTGTTATTTTCTTAGTTATAAGCTTCATTTGTTTGTTGTCAGAAGAAACACTTAATTTTTTATCGGTTTAGGCTTCTCCGTTCTCCGAATTGGCTTCTGGGGTTTCGAAAATTACAATTAAAAATACTGGCGATTCAACTGTCGATGTTACCCCTAAGAAAAGTGAAAAAAGTGAAAATTTGGAAAAGAGCCCGAAATCTTTAAATGAAAGGGGTCTTAAAACTAAGGAGGAAGTAATCGCTGAACGAAAAGCTAAAGCTGCTGAAGCTAAAGCTAAAAAAGGTCAGCTTTTCTTCTTGGTCTCATTTTAGCGATGATTAGGCATACATTACTCTAAGTTTTGTTTCCGTGGGCATGTTTCATTGAAAGCTTCATTGATGAAGACTGCTTAAGTTGTTTTGTAGCAGCAGCTGCAGCTGCAAAAAAAGCCGCGAGCGCTAATATAAGTGGAAACTCGAAATCGCCTGTTAAGAAGGAGTTCAAAAGAGATGATCGTCAACACGGTGATGCTGGGAACAGGCACATTCATAGTGATTCTGCGCAGACAAATGGTCATGTAGCCTCTAAAGCTACTCCTGACCACGGCAAGGCTTCTCTAGCTTCTTCTTCGACTCGTCTATCTGTGCCTTTCAGACACGTACATTTTGGTAAGTTCAGCTTTTCTTTGTTCTTGGCGTTTACTTTTGAGCTTGTCATTATTATATGTTTTTCATAAATTTAATTTTTTTTTGAGATATGACTCCCACGAGATCTGAAGAAACAAGTTCGCAGGAGGTCTCACAACCCGATATTTCGAAGATGGATGTTGACCCAGCGTTCTTGAAATTTGTTGCCAGGTATCTAAAAACTTCTCTCTTCGAACGGTGTTTTTACTATATCTTTAGCTTTAGATGTGGCTCTGGACGTATTACTGGTATAGACGCTATTTGTGTGGCTTTTTTACATGCATTTAAGGAGGTCTGTTTCTTTATTTTTTCATTTCTATGCTTTGAGAATTACATAAAGAATTACAGACAATTTGTTCATATTTAGAAAAGATGTTTCGTTTGGAATGAAGAGATTACACTCATTTATACTACCTAATTACGGTGTATAAGCAAACTGAGATAAATAATTCTTTCAGTTCCTTCTTAATTATTCGCTCGATAGTAGTCGTGCATTGTCTCACGATCTTGGCGAAAGAACGGAACAACATATCAAGTAACACTTTATAGTAATTTTTTTGTAACAGTTTATACTGTCAGTTCTTTACTTCTTGATAATTCATACAGTCATATCCTTGCTAGCCGTATTTGCACAAAGTAATACTATTAATGAACAGATATCTGACTGAAAACGGTACTCAGCCCTTACCACTGGCCTTACGTAATGTTGTTCGGCAGCTTAAGAAGGAAATCAACCAGTTACCTTCCGACACCACAGAAATCAGTGTATAGTTTATTATTTTTTCAAATTATTTTGAGGTAGTTGAGTATTGTACCACTAGGCTTGCTGCTACAAAGTCTTACAAAGTTTTTTTCATACAGGGTAAAGAATTGCTACGGGACTGGTTGGACGATTTTATGGCGCAGAATTTTGATCTTGCATTACGTGCTATATCATCTTTCTGTCTGGATAAAATAGCGAATACTTCATATATAATAACTTACTCTTGGTTGTTTTGGGTTTACTTGTCTTTAGAGACCTGCTAATCTTTCCCAATGTCGTTTTGGTATGTGTACTAGAATAACTTTGCAGGTGCCCAGTTGTCGAAAAAATCATTTTAGATGCATATGAAAAGAAACTTAAATTTCACCTATGCATTATTGATTCCCCTATATCGCAACGAGGTTGTTTTTCATTCTTATTTACTCTTGAATATTTTTATATATCACGGAAGATAGTTTAGCATATCTTTTTGTTTTGGTTTATAAAAGCACAGTGAATGAATCTTAAGCGTTCAGCCTCTTCTTCAAGGTTTTAGGCAAACAGTTAGCAAAAAAACTGTCGGCAAAAAATATCGAATGTACGTACGGGTTACTAAATTCTGTTGGTTATGTTATGAAAAATGTAAGCTTTATTCTCACTAATTTGTTTTCGCGCCGTTTTTCTTCGGCTCTGCTTTAATAAATCTTTTCATTTTTTGCTGATGTTGAGATTCTTTGTTGATTGTCTGAGGATTTCGCTTTAGTGCAGTATGGTTCTGCTTGGCTGCTCTGCGATATTGTCAAACGGGTATGTAGTTGCTGATAGAGGTTCAAGTTCAGTCGCTTTAGTAGCTTCAGCGGCCAATGTTCCTGTTTTAGTTGCGACACAAACATTTAAGTTTGTTGATACGGTTAGTTACTGCACGAGAACTTTGAAGGCGTTCTAAATGTTAATGTATTGTTGTTGCTGATTTGTTTATAACCAGTGTAATTGTAATTGTAGGCACAGCTGTTCGATCGCAATTATTCTAAGGGTAATTTATTAATGAAAGATCAGATGGAAATACTTCCGGCTGATTTAGTAACTGCTGTGGTTACTGAACTTCGGATTCTTCACCCTAGTTCTGCGCCAGCTGTTCTTAAAGCTAAGCAGCTTGCAGTTGGATAACTATATTCTTTCCACACTACTGTTCTATTTTCTTCATTGTTTAATTGAAGATTTAAATTTTATTTGTCTGTAAATTACATTAGTTACGAAGATATTGAGTGGGAGATTGATGAAATTATTTTTACATGTTGGTGGTAATTTGGTCTAGATTTTTTAAGGTTAGCGCATATTGAGTAATCAATCTTTAGTGGCCTTTCAAGTCATTTTATTATTTACTTTACAAGCCTTTGTGTTTGATGAATTAAAAGTCATATGTTTGACCTATTATGCCTGATTTTTAAAGGATCATCAGTACCACAAATGATTGATACCTGTGGTAAGGTTATTTATGACTGTATATTGGTGTTCTCTGTACGCTTTATTCATAGAGTTTTTGTTGTTATGTTTTTATTTTCAGGATTGCTATGAGGCGATATTTTCTTTATTTTTTTGTTGTTATTGCTTATTTTTCGTATCCGGAACTTTTGCGACACAAGCTTTTGTCTGTGCATTTTTTACTGAAGAAAAATTCGTACAGGTTAATCAATTTAAAGTTTTTTGGTTTGGGAACGGGTGAAATGTTACATAAGTCTAAAAGTAATGGTTATTTTAAGGAAAGACTTGAATTTCTTGCATAAAAATCCGGATAGCACAAAACAGAAAAGCTTTAACTAAAGTTTTTAGGTTGTTTTGTGGAGAAGCATTTCTGAAGTTCTTTAGTAGACTTTAAGGGTGAATTGTTGCTGCGGTGTTTCTCGATTTTTTGGGCTTATTTGTGTTTTTAAGGTGAAAATTTCAGTGGGAAAGGAGAGGATATTCTATTTTAAATTTTGAAGAGTGGGATGGTTAATGGTGCATCGTTTTTTTTTTTTTTTTTTATGAAAGGAATTTGGCTAGCCGGTTTTTGCGTTTATCAGTAAATGATCTGAATTAGACTTAGACGGATTTGACAAGGAATTTGTAAAAGAGTGTTGAGCAAGCTGGATCACAAGTAAGAACTTATTTGTATTTGAAGGGATAGGTGCTACTAGCAACAGCTTATAATTGACCTATTCGTCAATGATGCATTGAGATTATTATATTTTGGATTACAATTCTGTAAAGAGGGGTTGGTATGGTTTGCCGCTGTGTTTCGGCATGCTACACAGAAAAGGATTCGAGTGAAGTCATCAAGTTCTGGAGTCAGAAAAATTCGAGTTTTTGTGCTCATTTTGCTAGGAAAATTAGCTGGATTGAGTTGGTGTTCGCGGAGTAGAGGTTGTTCATTGACAGCTGAGATTATATGCGATTGATTATTAGCGAATTTAAATTTCTGCTTAGTGCAGCAAGCGACTGGATAGTGCAAAATTTGTCGAGAATACATAGTTTTTACAGAGTCGGTTCATGCCCTGAACTTGGTATCTTGCTGAAGGCCTGTATATGGACTGGTACATAACAGAGAAAAATGCTTTGCTTCTGTTTCATATCTGAGTCAGGGAAGCACGGACATACACTCAAAACAAATAATCTGACTATTAGGTGTATAATCCTGACAATACGAGAACTATAAGAAGTAATTTGTTTGCCTAATAAAATGTACTTGTTTGGCACTACTCTGTCTATAACTACTAAATTTGTTGAGTTTTATAAATGATGAAAACTCTTAGTTTTTTTAAACAACAGCTTGTTATTGAGAATTACGGGATTCAAAATTGTGTATGCTAATCGTTGACTTATAAAAACGATCAGTTGGATGTTGAAAGGGGATTGCAAGACAGTTGGCTAAAGGGTATTCAGCAAGGGTCAAATTGTGGAAAAGGCAGAAATTATGAAAGCAGCAACATGGTTAAAGACCAGTGATTCATCATGAAGTGCTGTTCTTTTTTTTTTGCTTTATAAGACAAGCAAACGAGTCCGTTACCAAAGGTTTTTTACATTTATTTGTCGACTATTCAATTGTAACAGTTTTCAGCACATTTTTGATGCTTTTTTATTATTTTTGTTGCTGCTGGGCCACTGATAAAGACTACGTAAAAATTTTTATCGAATACGACATTTAACAGAATAATTCTTATCAAATACGACATTTAACTTTCTGGTAATTTTGCTATTATTATTTACTTTTTCAGAGATTCTAAGGGAAACATTTTTCCCTTTTTTTTGCTTGATAAAATATTGCTAGCTTAGTGATTTTAATTAAGCAGACGTCAGCATATCTAAAATATGTAAAGTTATATGTTACTGTGTAATATTAGAGTGGATTTTTTAAGCACTAACTCTGAGTATATGTTATTTGATGTCTACACGTTGGCAATTGATGCGCAAAAAAAAACCTTTTTATTTACATATATAACAGTTTTTATGGTCAAGAAATTTTTACATTTTCGTTTTTGATGTTTTCATTAAGCGTGATTTTATGGTTAAAACTTTTATCGTTACTTGTTGGGAGGTAAATTGTCTCGTGTTTTCTTCTTCTCCCTACCAAGTTCTCTGGGTTTTTGCTGAACCAAGAAAGATGTTGAGTTAAGTTCAAAATTGTTAACTGGAATAGCTTAAGCTTGAATTTATATCTTGAAAAAACATTTATTTATCAAAATAAAACAAGTGTTTTTGGTATCTTTTAATTATTCTTGTTTATAGCTCATAAAAAAATGCAGTTATCAATGGATGATTTTTTTCATCTCTAAACTCAACAGTAACGTCAACAAGCAATTTGGCTGGTGTTGGTAGTGGTGCAAAGTATTAAGTTACTTTATTGATAAAAATGACTGCTGCATTATTAGTTTGTTTATTATTATTGGTTGGAATAGAAATTTTGATGCTTATTCCATATTCTGCTCATCAAAATGTTTGGTGCCGTCAACAGAGTTTAAAATGTTAGTCGATTAACATGCTTGCAACGGTCTAAATGTCAACGAAAGTTTGCTGTTTCAAAGCAGTTACTATGAAGGTTTAATATCAGTGATTGAAAAGAAGCAGTATTTGGTTATTAGTGTTTTCAAAGTTGCAAAATATGTTTACTTAGGGTTGTATGAAACAGTTTACTGTAACTGTTGATAAGTGATGGAATACAGGAAGAAAAGGTCAGTGTTTTTGATATATTTATTTGCATATATAGAGGTATACCTGTCGGATAAGTGTGATTTTTTTTTGAAGCATTTTAATGTTGTTAACACGTTGAAGACAGAAAGATTCTGCTGATACTGCTATAAATTTAATGCTAACTATCATTGGTATATGCTGTCATCTGTTGATTTATGACTGTAATTCTCCAAAAAAGAAAAAATTCGGTATTAACGATATTGATCTAGTTGTAAACATTTAATTTTTATTTTTCTGTTTTTTACTTCTTTTTTATTCTCTTGTTTTTTTTTTTTTTTTTTTTTTTTTT